AAAAAAAAAAAAAAAAAAAAAAAGTGGCATCATTGATCTAAAAGTGGTTTCCACACTGAAAAGGTCCAGAAATAAGCAAACCTTCTCCTGTGTGTTCCAAAGCCCTGAGGCTTCGGTGTGCGGTGCACGTGCCACTTGTCACCTGGAAGCCATGGCAGAGTCTGCCTTCCGACAAGATCTCTGAGCGAGGCACACATCCTTTGAAAATAGGGAAGTAATGGTACAGAGGAACAGATTGTTTGTATATGAGAAATCCAAAATCCAGATCATAAGCCAGGCCAGGCACAATCTCTGGTGGCAGGACACCTGCATTGCTGGCTTTGGAGATACCAGGTGATTCCAATGGGTAGCCAAATTCAGGAACCACTAGACACTTTTGCTAGAACACAGGGGAATCTCCTGAGTGCCCTGGAGAATGACATTGTTGGGTTCCAACCCCAGGAATTTTGCAGTAACTGGTCTCAAATGTGACCCAGGCATTGGGAGTTTTAAAAAGCTCCCCAAGTGATTCTCATGTGCAGCAAAGACTGCAAACCACAATCCTAGGGCCTGACTCTAGAAATGTTCAAAATGGCAGCTGAGCTGGCAACAGTTTGGAGAAGAATCTTTTAAAGTCAAAGAGCATTAATTAAACAGTTGGTCTCACAGCATTCAGCTACCTCACCAGGTATAATGACAGCACTGAGTTCAGTGATGACCAGGTCTGCCAACTCTTGCCTGTCCCCATGGGCTCTCGACACTTTCTCTTGCACAGTTTTCTTCTAGGCTTCCTTTCAAGTGATTAACAGGTGCATCTGCTTGGCATTAAGAACCAATACCTTCACCCTCAAAAATAGAAATGAAAACAATTTATGTCATTACCTGTATGAAAACAGTTAAATGGGCTGATCTCAGATTCGGAAACTCAGAAAACCACTAGGTAATTTTGCATGCCTTTAGGGTCACACTAGATACAGATATTACGACTCAACCAAAAGGAAGAAAATGTAGGAACCTTCCAGATGATGAAAGATGTAGCTATGAATTAGGTTCCAGATAGAAAGTAGACCACAAAGACCACAAAAAGCTTGTTTTTCAAATGCATGTGTATCTATGTATATCTGAAGCACTGTAGCATTGCAAGCACCAGATAAACAGACAGACTGATTCAGGCCCACCAAGCTCTGGATTAATCACCCTCAGAAACACTTGGAGGGAGAAGGGATAACTCCAGTTTTCATGCCACCCACCCCTGGATGCTGTTGGGACAATGATCTTGTTAAACATAAGGCAAATGAGGGACTCAGAGGAGGCACCTGTATATCAGGTGTGTCTTAATCCATTTTCTACTACTGTAACAAAATGGCCGAGGCCAGATATTTTAGAAAGGAAAGAGGTTTAGTTTGGCTCACAGTTTTAGAAATACAAGAGCATGGCACCAGCATCTGCTAGCTTCTGGAGAAGCCTTGTGCTGCTCCATGCATTACAGAAAGTAAGAAAGCAAGTGGATACTTGAGGAAGAGAGAAAGCCAGTAGAGAGAAAGGGTGTAGGAGAAGGAGCTGAATTTTCCTTATAACAGCTCATCCTCAAAGTAAGCAAACCATTATTGTGAGAACTACATGAATCCTTTGTAAGGGTGGGGGTCTCATGACCTCATCACCTCTTAAGGTCCCATCTCTCAGCACTTACCCCAGTTAGATTATCTTATAGGCAGTTAGACAGGGTTACTCGACCCTCAAGGTGCCCGTCTTCAAGGGGTGAGCCTCAAGAAGCCAACATAGACAGGAACCAATATGGAGAACAGTTAAGGCACATTCACTAGTTAGCATTATAAAAAAGAAAAGAGGTGCTACTTCCTCTAGAGATAGAGAGCAGTGTTTGATATTCTAAATGGGAAACTCCTCGAATGTAACTTGTTTTCCCATTTGATCCCCATTTCATCAATATTACCTCTGTGACTGTACTTATAATCTTATTGGTTGGTCATGGTTTTGCCCCACCTCATACCTACCTTGTAATTTCCATTGGGTTTTTAGTTTTGTCCCATTTGAAACCTACCTTACCTCATGGCTTTGTTCCAAAAAAACACTGGGAAATAGGGTCCCTTGCAACTCACTTTCTGTCCCCCTTCTGTTTCTCTTAGACAGAAGCTTTCTTTCTCTCAATAAATTTTTCCTCCTCTTAGCCTCCACTGTTGCTAGAATTCATTCTTTGATTTTAGAGAATGTGAACTTGAGTTTTGAATATCTAGCAGGTTTGAGAGTTACATCTACTCCCCTATATCACTTATAACAGCTCATCCCCAGGATGAGTAAAATACCATCATGAGAACTGTGTGAATCTTTGCCTGAGGGTGGGGATCTGCTCACCTCTTCAGGTCCTGCCTCTAAGCATTTACCCCGGGACCAGTTTCCAACACCACACAAATGTTGGTGGACAAGTCCTACTCAAATCATCACAGTGGGCCTTTGAGCCATACCTTCTTCACTGGCTCTTACTCCAGCTCAAAACTCTGCTTCACCGCTACACACAAAGTGCACAAGGCTGGTCTGAGACAAATGTCCCCTGAGTCTCTCAGAGGCTGTCATTAGAGCTAGAAAGCACAAATTCATGAGTATCAGCCTTCTGTTACTAAACTTTGCATTTCACAAAGTACATACTAATAGAAACATTCCTGAAAATTGAGTAACAGCTCTTCCTTGTGGCGTGTGTGTGTGTGTGTGTGTGTGTGTGTGTAAAACCTTGGTTTGCAAGTGTAATTTGTTCTGAAAACATGGTTATACTCCAAAGCATTTGTATATCAAAGGGAATTTCCCCATAAGAAATAATGAAAACTCAGATGATTTTTTCCAAAACCCAAAAATATTCATATAAAAATGATTACAATACTGTAATGTCATACAAAGTAATAAAGAAAAAAAATAAAGAAAAATAAAGTAACCTCAACTTACCTTTAAAAACATTAGTGGCTGGTTTGAGGGAGACAAGAGAGAGGAGGGTTACTGTGTAGAACAACTTTCACTATCAGTAAAGGAATCACTGCTATCCATTGGCTCAGTGGTATCTTTTTCTTTTCATGCAACTTTAACAAGGAACCTATCCAATGATACTTGTTTTGGCCTCCGTTTGAGGAGTTTATGAAAATGTGACATTGCCTGTCATAAAACAGATTCATCGCTTGCACTGCAACATCCTTATTTGGGTGGTGGTTTTCTACAAATTTTGCACTGTTTCCCACATTTAACACACCTGCCTAATCTCATGTGAAGTGAGGGATTTCTCCGCCTTTTTCTCCTCCTTTGCAAACAAGATCCTGTTGGTTAGAGATCATCACCCACAATCCTGCAGAGAGAGGGAGGGAGACAGACAGACAGAGAGACAGAAGGAGGGAGATGGAGAGAGAGAATCACTGGCTTAATTGTGATCATGTGATGTTCAGCGTCCCATGCTATTCATATTATAAGACACTGCTGGTTTATCAAGTTAAAATGTATTAGCAGTGTTTGTCATTTGTGGCACACTCACAACAAGTCGCTCACAATCCAAGGTTTTAATATACACACACATATATATCAAACAATACCGCGAATGTTTAAATTTTTTAAATTTATTACTGTAAAAGACATAGTGCCATTAATCCCCCTTAGAATACATTTCCTTGCTTCAAACACACTTACCCCATCCTTCTTGCCACTCTCTTAAGCAGGTCTGGAAGTCTCACTTCCTGAGTGTCTTTAGTTGTGCTATCATGGCTGCCTCCGTGTCATGAATCAACTCAAAATGTTTATGGCAATTTCTGTCAAATAAACACATCGGGTTGTGTCTATCTCCGCCTTACTCATCTGATCTGGCAGTCTGCAAATTCTTCCTTTTACCCAAAGTCAAAATGACCATGAAAAGTAAACATTTGGAATTGATTAAGAACATTGAGGCCACCACAGACAGACACAGAACAGTACTTCCAGAACCGCTTCAGCAAGTGGCAGGAAAGTCTGGAACATGCCTGTAATCCCAGCACTTAGGAGGCTGAGGCAGGAGGATTTCAGGGAGTTTAAGGCCAGCCTAGGCTACACAGTGAGTTCAAGAACAGCCTGAATGACACAGAAAGATCCTGTATAAAAAAAAGAAAAGAAAAGAAAAGAAAAAAGAAAAAGAAAGAAAGAAAGAAAAGAAAGTCGCAAGAATGAAATGTGTTCAAAGTGAGGGGAATATGGGGGGATGTTAATAACCATGTGTCTGGCACTAAAACTAAAATGAAAATGGATTAAAGATCTAAATATTAAAACAAACACTAAACTGACTGGAAGAGAGGTGAGGTAGAACTCTGGTGTAGGAAAAGATTTTATGAACAAAACCTCAGTGGCCTGTGACCTAGCACAAATAATAAACAAGTGGGATGTCTTCTTATTAAAAAGCTTGTGCACAGCAAAAGAAGCCACCAACAGTGTGAAGAGACAACCCACAATGTGGGAAAATATTTTCAGCAGCTGTTCCTCAGACAAAGGTCTACTATCTAGAATATATAGAGAACTTAAAAAAATCAGACCTCCCAAATTTAAAGACCCCATCCAAAAATGGGCATCTGAAATGAATAAACATTTCTCAGACAAAGAAGTAGAAATAGCAAATAAACATATGAAAAAATTTTCAACATCACTGGTCATTCAAGAGATTCAAATGAAAACAATGCTGAGATTCCACCTCACTCCAGAAAGAATGGCTGCTATCATGAAATCCACCAATATCAAATGCTGGTGGGGCTGTGGGGAAAGAAAGTGAACCCTACTCCACTGTTGGTGGGAGTGCAGACTGGTGCAACTACTATGGATATCAGTATGGAGATACCTAAAAGAAGTAGGATTGGAGGTCCCATTTGACCCAGCCATCGCCTTGCTGGGTATCTTCCCCAAAGAATTAAAAGAATCATACCACAGTGATATATGTGCACCCATGTTCATAGGAGCACAATTTGTGATAGCTAAAATTTATAAGCAGCCAATTGCCCATAAACAGGGGAAATGTGTTTTTTTGTTAATAAAATGGAGTATTATTCAGCCATAAAGAATGAGAAAATAGAGCCATTTATAGCTAAATGGATGCACATTGAGGTGATGGTCTTGGGTGAAATAAATAGGGTGCATGCGTGTAAATACTGAATGGTTTCTCTAGTGTGAGAAACTGAAAGTGTTAATAAGGGCTAAAAGTATAACAGATAATGTGAAATAGGGAAGAAAAGGTGCAAAGGGGAAGGGGAAATGGGAGGGGTAGGAGAAAGGAAAGAAGGGAATGGAATTAACATGAGAAAAAGAAAAAATGGAAACAGTCTTTGTAGATAGGAAGGGAAGGAGGGGTTGAAGGGAGGGCAGGGCAATGGGGGAAAAATAAGAACCAAGATGGAGTATCTAAAGGTGCAAATTTCCAATGATGAATGTCATTATATTGTATACCGTAAATGTACTGAAAAATTAATTTTAAAAATCATGTGTCTTTTACTCTAATTTTTTTTTCATTGAGTTTATTGGTACATCTTAGGTATACAGTACAGTTACATTCATCATTGGGACCTTGTACCTTACATGACAGGTCTTGGTTCTCATTTTTTCCCCTTGTCCCTGCCCTCCCTTCACCCCCTCCTCCCCTCCCCATTTACAAACACTTTATTTCCATTTTTTCATTGTCTCATTTTTTTCCTTTTCCCTTATTACCTTGCCCCTACCCTTCCCATTTCCCCTACACCTTTATCCCTTTCTAATATTTCATTTTTAAAAACATTTTATTGGTACTTGTTTGTAGTACGTAATGATTGTATTTATTGTGAGGAGTTGGTACACGTGAATAACACATCTTAATTCTCTTGTTCTAGTCCTTCCCTGCCCCTCCTCTCCCTTCCCCCTCCCTCCATCTCTTGATCTCTTTCCCTTTTACAAAAATTCTATTATCTATCTTTTCCTATTATCTATCTCTAGCTTATTTTGTTCTTTAATTTATTTATGCTATGGTTTTCTCATATAAGGGAGACTATGCAACATTAAGGTTCGTGTGCCTGATTTATTTCACTCGAGCTTCTGGTCTCAAGGTGCATCCATGTTCCTACAAATGAATCAAATTTATCTTTTTTATGACAGTGTGTACTACATTGCATACAAATACTGTCAGACTTGATATGGTCATGAAATGATTAATGAATATGCTGCTTAATTCCAAGCTACAGTTTAACAGATACAAAAAACCTGCAGCCTTCAGCAAGTCACACCAATGCCCCCAGACCAGATGCAGGCCGTGCTGCCCCAGAGCAGATAGAACACAGGACAGGATGTTACAAGAAACACCACAAGAGTACAGAACAACATCCTCCCTCCCTTCACCGCTGCAGAGACTTCGACCATGTTTACACCAACCCCATGCATGACAGATGTGCCAGACTCCTCTCCCTCCCGATCACCTATTAAACAACCCCCTGCCTTATGTCTATTTGGCAGCGATGGAGCTCTTGCTTTCAGTCCACCGCCACCCAGGTGAACAGAGTCTCTGACTCTTTGCTTTCTGCTAGCCTGTTTGGGTGGTCTCATTCTTCTCTGCCATTGTCACAGACACCAGATTTCTTTCCTTTATTTTGCTCATTGTTTATTCTTTGGTTTTCTCATATGAGAAAAGCCATATAAATATTTAAACTTGTGTGTCTGATTTATTTTACTTAGCATTATTTTTGGGGGGTACCGGGGATCGAAATCGAGTCCTTGCGCTTGCGAGGCAGGTTCCAGAACCACTGAGCTAAGTCCCCAACCCTACTTAGCATTATTTTTAAGGTGCATCCATTTTAATACAAATGGCTCAAATTCATCCTTCTTTATAGCAGAGTAGTATTCTATTGTGTATAAATGCCACATATTATCCATTTGTTCATTTGTTTTTATTTAAATATTCATCATAATCTTTTATTATACCATACACATATATATGCATGTATACATGTATATGTATATATACATATATGAGAGAGGTTCTAAACAATATATACCCTGTTATTAATGGGAATAGTAGGACATTTAGAAGGCCAGGAGTAACAGAAGCAAAGGAATGTGGATTTGGTTTTAACTCAATCATGCAGCAAACAAGTTGGCCTTTAGTTATTTGCTGGATTAATTGAATCCACCTGCCCCAGGAAGGAAACATGGTTTCAAAGTGCACATGTCCCCTGGATCCCTCAGCAAGCACTGAGCATTTGATGCATTGTAATCAAGAACACAGAATTCCATCTGCTTTGGACAGACCATGTCAGAGACCTGGGCTCATTAACCAATCACATCCAGGGCACAAGGACTTTGTCCTTCACTCACTAGGCCATTAACTACTTGTGGAACAGATGAATGAATAACAGCCACATTCATACCCCTCAAGGGAAACAGGGGCCAGCTACTTCCCTTCACAATGTTTAGAGACTGGAGACTTGGTGTCTAGGACTGTCTTTGACACTAATTACATACGACCTGAAGAAGTCATTTTTTCCTCCTGGGGAAACTCAACCAAGAGATGGAATACAGATGTCCTCTGACTTCAAACTTCAAGTCATGTAGAAAGAAGAAGGAAAAGAAGGTTTTAAAAGATTATTAAAAAGAAAGGTGCACTGTGATAGCAGTTTCTCAAAGAGTTAAATACAGAATCACCAAAAGATCCAGCAACTCCACATCTAGATGTGTACCTAGAAGAGTTAAAAGCGGGGATTCAAACAGATCAGTGTACACCCATGTTCACTGTATCATAGATAGGCAAGTTACTTAGATATCTTACAGGCAGTTCGACAGGGCTAGCCCTCAAGGAGCCAACATACAGGAGAATCAAGCCAACCTGGAGGACAGCAGAGACACATTCACTGAAAGCCAGCACTGTAAAAGAAGAGAAACTACTACACCCACATAACATGAATAGCAGTGACAGACATTCTCAATAGGTATCAATCACCTGTGTCTGAAGCTCAGTTCTCCAGTGAAGTAAGTGGACCAGGAAAAGAATGTTGGCTGCAGTTTGCAAATTGAAAGACCAACAACAACAAAAAAATGGGCTTAAGAAGACTGCAGCAGGCAGAGGGCAGCAGGCCTCCGGATGCCCTGTGACCTAGCCCCTGGTAGGTTGGGCCTGGTGCACATCCAGTCTGGAGACTGAGGGCGCAGATGCTGGCAAGGTCTCAGGTCTGCTGAAGCTCGCATTAATTTGAGCTTTGCTCAGTCTGTGGAGATTCTGTCCATTTCTCTTCTGCACAAAAATGTGCTAGGGAGCCATAAACTCCCTATCAAGCAGAAATTCTTTTGGTCTTTTTTTGTTAACTGAAAGGGCTAGGGGGAAAAAAGTGAATTCTACCAGTAGCTTGACAACTCTAAAGTAACTTCCATGCAATTTAATTTAAAAGATAATGTCAATATTGATGTGATTTTTTTTTTAGTTCTTCACAAAAATTTTAATTTTGTTCAATAAATTTTTAAACTGCTCACTTCCAAAGCTAGGAGTTGAAGTGATGCTTTTGACAGAGAAGACAGAGAGACCATTGCACCTGTTTGTCTGCATCAGAACTGGAGGACAAATAATTTCTTAGACTTTTAAAATGGGATGTTTGAGGTCTCAATAGAGCAGTAAAATCAGGTGGCCTGGCTAGGAAGTACTTGCTCTTTGTGATATTTGTGTCTCACAAATGTAGCAAGTTCTTAGAAAGTTCAGGGCTACTTGTATGGACCCTGGTTTTCTTATAGGATCATAAGGGAAAAAAATAGCAAAGAATATGGTTACTTTGTTTTGCTAGGATGCTCCTTGAGTTTCCTCTGCATAACCTCACATATTCATCAGATATGTAAAAGATATTTATTTTGGCATTAATAAAGGATGAAATCTTTAACATCCAGGAAATAAATCTCTATTTATCCTGCTGGGTAAATTATTAGCTCCATCTTCGTCCAGGAAAAATTCACTAAGGCCTCATGTGTCAGGTGCTAACTGCAGACCTGTATCTGCTTTCAAGAAGAAACCTACCTTTAGCCTGGAGGTAGAACACCTGTCATAAGTCACGGATGGAGTACTGGTTCTAGCCCTTGGTGAGATATTTACATGACCTAGAGAGTCAGTGATACCCAGATTTGGAAAGAGGAAATACATATGAATGCACATAAGCAGCCGCTTGCGAAAACACATTTGTATCCATGGGCACCATTGTGTTAGTCAGATTTTTGTTGCTGGGACCAAATATCTGAGCAAAACAACTAACAGGAAGCAAATTTGTCTTGGCTTATGGTTTCAGAGGCTTCAGTGCATGGTCACTCAGCTCTGTTGCGTTTAAGCCTGTGGTGAGACAAAAACATCATGGCATAAGGGTGTGGCACAGGGAAGCTGCTCACCTAGTGAGAGCCATAAAAAGAAAGCAAAGCAAGAACCAGAGAAAAAGACCAGATATAGTCCAAGGTCATACCCTCCAGGACCCACTTTCTTCATCTATGCCTTCCTTCATCTCCTAAATTTCCATTACTTCTCAATGACTTTTTTTTTTTTGGTACCGGGGATTGAACTTGGGTCTTTGTGCTTGCAAGGCAGGCCACCAAACCACCGAGCTAAATCCCCAGCCCTCAATGACACTTTTGATCTCAACAATGGATTGATCTGCTGATAGAGTACCCATGATCCAGTGACCTTCTGAAGGGCCTATCTCTGAATACGTGATACTCTGGGGGACATTTTTAGATAGAAGCCATAACTAGCATTAAAGAAAAGGAGGAAAATAATAGTGAAATCTAGAAGCATGATTATCTAGTTCTGATTCCTTACCTCTTGCTTTAAAATCAGCATGGAAAATTAGTGTGCTGAGGGCAGGGGCTCTTATCTTTCCTTGTGTTCTATGTACCCCTTTAGCAACTTGGTGAAGTCTCTTATCAGAATAATGGTTTATAATATCTATGCAATCATGTGTGAGAAAGTCAAAATTATTTCAAACTTTAAAAATCCTCCCTGACATTCATCATCCTAGTGTAAAAGACAAAAAGCAGCCTCAAAACTACTATAGGGAACAAACCTATCACCCTATTTGCGGGGGTTGAGACAAAAGATCTGAAGTTTAAAGTTAGCCTGGGGTGGGCTGGGGATTTAGCTCAGTGGTTTCACCACCTGCCTTACAAATGCAAGGTCCTGAGTTCAATCCCCAATACCAAAAAAACAAAAAAAAAAAAATCACACAAACAAAAATTTTAGCCTAGGTGACTTAGCAAGACCCATCTCAAAATAAAAATAAAAATGACTGAGGACATAGCTCAGTGGCAGAGCACTTGCCCAGAATGTTTGAGGCCTTGGGTTCAACCCTGATACTGGAAAAAAATTACCAGAAACAATATTTCTTCCAAGCCACAATAGATTATAAAGGGTCATAACATCCTCCTGCTTTGTTACTCACTGTGAAACTTTGTTCCTTAAATTTACAGAGAAATTTCCTGCTTGAAATTATATCTGCAAGAATGAAATATTCCACCTCTGTCTGGAAAACTTCACACAGCCTCAATTTACAACCCAGATGGATGTGAAGTTTCTGAGTTGATATGAAAGTCTGGATATGAAACTGCCTGTTTTAATGTCAGAGTTTGCAAGGAAGTAGGACTGACGTAGGAGGTAGAACAAGGACAAATAAACAACAGCAGCTGTGGGGCAAGAAATGAAAAGCCCGACAGAGCACCCTGTCCCTCCAAGACTCCCAGGCAAAACCAAAAGTACGTGATCCTGGTAATCTCATTTGCACTGGGGATTTGATACCCCGTCACCCGTCTACCCCCAGTGGGCTTTGGAGACCATGACACTTCCTCTAAAGACCTTGTATAGTCAATAGTACCCCTCATGATAGGAGGGCCAAGTAAGAGGTAGGTAGCTTATAAGGCCACGACTCCATCAACCTTCAACTGTAGACCCTCCTGTGATCCCAGGACCTTAAGAGACCCAGTTCCTGCCCCTTTCAGGACTGTGTACTATTCTTATTGGCCTGTTCCTCTCCTGTAAAGCATAGTTTAGCTTCTTTCACTTTTAATCTTCCTCTTGTTATTCCTGAGTGTTCTGCTCAATTCTTTCTTCTAGATACTAATAATCTGAAAACAACTCCTCTAGGACCTTCCATCTTATAATAGGACAGTGGGTCCATGATGTAGTCTAGACCTCCTGTAGCCTGTGTGCTGACACATAGTTTTGCTCTGCTCTGAGCTTCCAAATCACTGCTCATTTCAATTTCATCTCAACTTCAATTCTCTAAATGAACCTCACATTGCAATGGCCTCACAAATCAATAAATACTCCTAGTAATCTGAGGCCGACTAGGCAAAAGGCATGAGGGAAACCAGTTGATTTAAAATTCAGTTATATCTATGGGCCTCAGGGTTTAAAAGCCATGAACTAGAAAGGGGGCTGGGATGTAGCTTAGCAGCACAGCACTTGCCTGGCAAGTGCCTTGAGTTCCATTCCTGCTACAAAAAAAAAAAAAAAGTGCTGGGTATTTTACTCAACTTTATATCTAAAACATCATCAAAGTTTGTGACTAACTGCCCAGCGAATACTCCTTAGTATAAAGAAGAATCTGTCAACTATAATCTACAAATATCAGTGGCTTGGGATGTGGGGTTACAGCCAACGACAGGTATCAGAAAGTGATCGATCCTCTGACTGCCTAGAAAGGGGGATTGGCAAGGACTAAAGAAAGAAAGACAACAGAGACTTGCATAATTCCGAAGTACATGGGGGGCCAGGAGGTCAGTGCCCCAGAGTGGGCAAAGACAAAGACACTCCGAGCTAGTCATTACTGGGTACATACAATAATCGGAGGGAGTATCAGGGGACTTAGAGGGCTATGATCATCCTATATCGATGAGGATCTTACATTGATGAGGGCAACAAGAACATCCCTACAATAGTAGGTGGGACAAGACAGTAAGCTAATAAAGAAGTCCTTCCTTTAGGTTTAATCTGTTTTTTTTTTTTAATTACTACTCTGTTCTTGAAGAACTAGGGTATCTTCAGCTGATGTAATCTTGCCCTTGAGTGACACAGCATCATGGGACCATTGAGGCCTCAACTTGTGACCACAGGTAAAAGAGAGTTATGCTTCTGCATGCTGCAGTGGTTCAAGGTGACATTGGCCTTAGCTGTAGTTATAGTTTAATTATGAAATAATTTCCCCCAAAAATTACGTAGAACGGCTCTCGACAAACAGGTGTAATCCAAGCTGCCACAGATGGCAGAAATGGACCAGATCACACGCGGCTAGCAGGCTGTTGGGGCACACATAAGGAAACATGCTTACCATGACAGCACCCTGCATAGACTGAGGACTGCAGTCCCAAGAGAGGGTCCTGATACTGGCCACTGTCAATCTGAACTTGGTTTTGTAGCTCTGAGTTGGATGGGAAGTCCCACTGTGTGCTGATATGCGGTTCCACTAACTATAATGCTTAAATGACTTTAGGGTGCTGTCTTCCTTCATTACTTTCTAAACCATGCTCAAGGGTGGGCCCACAGAAGTTCTCTTTAAACCGCACAAACCATTCCAGCTGTTAATGGCTAGAATACTTTCCCCTCTCACCTTGGGTAGGTCTTCGGAGAAGCCAATTTAGCATAGGCCATTCTGAAATGGGGGCTAACACTAATATGGAGAAGAGACATCTCATCTAAGGCTTAGACAAAGTGGACGTTAAAATGGGGTCCTGCCCGAACCTCCCTAGAACTGTGTTGTGTAAAGGTGGGCAAAATCTGTGTGTGCGTGTGTGTGTGTGTGTGTGTGTGTGTGTCTGCGTGTTGCCTGTCAGACTTGAGGAAGCCAGTGGCCCTTCCACCCTCAACATACGCGTCCCCAAACTGAATTTGGTGGTCACTTTGACCAGGAGGCTTTTTCTAGTACACTTACAGATACTACAATGCACACATGAAAGATTTGTGAAGTCCTGGTCTAAGGGCTTTGCACGCTGCTCGCTTGTTAAAACAGGTGACTCTATGTGCCAGCCAGTCCTTTAATGCGCGGTCCTACGAATAAATCAGCATAGGCGTACAACAGCATGGCAGGCCAGGAGGGCCTCATCAGAAGCAGGGCAGAAGACCCCATCCTTTTCTCGCGGTGGATGAAGGGTCAAAGATACGAATGCAATGTAGAATCTTCTAACAAAGTGGTAGCTCCAACATAGGAGGACAGATTCAGTAGCACACGGACGAAGTACTTACTCAGTGTTCAGCACTGTTTCCACCGACCCAGGGCAGGTGGGAAGTCACCTTCCCATTACTAGCCCGTCTTTCTTCCTCACTGCCTCCACAACCCCACACTGACGGTCCTTCACTCAAATGTTGCTGGCACCTCATCTGGGACTGGGGGCTTAGGTCAGGGCTGGAGAATCCAGAAGGCAGACTTCTGCTAGTTTTGTTTTGGTGGGCGGGAATCTGAGAAGCTTCACAGAAGAGCATCTGAGACCTGAAGCCAGAAGCGCTGACACCACAGGCCCGTGCTTGAAAGAGGAGGCCCCAAGGCCCGAAACAGCGCTCCCGGGAGGAGAGAGCGCGGGGAGGAGAGGACACGCGACCCTTGGCAGCCGTGGGCGCTGTCAGGGAGCGGCGCCACCGGCTCAGGCCGTCACGCGCCAGGACCTGCA